CTGCCAGTCATCTTTTTTTAAGTTCAGAGTGTTCTTCCTGCACTTATTGGTGGCGCATCATCCATGCATGAGCATAAGAGATCCATAATATCAACTTTTGCTCCTAAGATGCGGGGATTGTACATTGTACTGCACATACACAGTGGTCAGTATGCAACTAATAGAACATTGTTAGGAAGGCAAAGATGTTTTTTGCAGAAGATACATACAAAGTGCACATGCACATACAGAGTCTCTTCCACCCAAAAACTCTACCAACCAAAAATGTTTATTTTTTTGTCAACGTTAGGTCCACTTTAAGGAATAAATTCTAGGTTTTCAAGGCTCTCTCACTTCTCGATCCTGTCCCTGCAGAGAGCCGTGACTGTCACTCACGGATCCCTGCAGGGATTCCCCCCCTCCCCGTTCCGATCCGCCAGCACTGACTGGCGCAACGGACGGGGGAGGGGGCGGGTACAGCTGGCTCTGCCTCTGCCTCCAGACATAATTGTCGGGATCCGCTTCAGCTGCGGCGTCTCAGTATACCGCGAGCTGTACTGAGCTTAGGGTGACGGAAGGACGCTAGTTTGTGTCCTCCCGTTACCTTAAGGAGAACTATGGGGAAAAGCCCTAACCCCATAGTTCTCCTTTACGCAAGTTGCAGGGACCACAGGAATAATTATATGTCTATATGCATGTTTATACATGGGGAAGAAAGCCTGGAATTGGGAACCAGTCTTAAAAAAATAAATAAAAACAATGCAAATGTAAATCAGCGCATGTTTTTAAAACCCGCCAATGCACAAAAATGCATGGTGAAGCAAGTTGCAGGATCTATGGGAATACATGTAAGTCTACATGCACAGTGGCATAACTATAGCCATAGAAGCCCAACACTTTAAAGATAAAAGGCCAAAAAGAAAGAAAAATCAACAAAAAAAATGTGTTTTCCGTAGACATCATCCATCTTTTAGCCACACAGATGAGATGTGAGGAACCGTTATTGATCACAAGATGGTTTTACGGTTTTGACCTCAACGAGATAAAAAAAAATCCCCTACGACGTGGAGCGAAGGCCGAGCCTTCTAAAATACATATCAGGACAGCTATCTCTGCAGCAAATCACAGGTGTGGGTTAGTTATTACGGGATCAATAGTCACAGTATTACCTTGCTTACAGCGCTCTGTTCCTTTACATCGATTTTGCACCGGTACATTTTTAACTGCCAAACAAGCGAGCGGTTTAATACATTGCACAATCGTGCAGAACTTTCAGTTAAACAACCGGCCGCAATTCAGACATAAGGCCCAATTATAGCCGCGTAATAACATTGTAGCCGAGAGTCATTTGCGTCCATTTCGGTCAACTTTTTATTTATTTATTTTTATTCCTAACAAGCTGGAAGCCACTTTCTGTCCTATATTATTGCTACTCCGAATGTTAGTCTTATTGCAATAGTTGGCTTGTATTGCTTTAATTTATTTTCTCATTTCATTTTCTTGTTTCATTTATTTTTTATTATTTTTATTTTTTTTAATATTATATTTTTGTGTGTGCCTTTTAAATTACATTTGTAGC